GGGGAGGCCAAACGGCAATTTTAGCTGAGACGTCCCACCAAAATCGGCGCGAACGGGCTCGTGAGATCAGCCAGGGTGGCTCCCCCTTGGGGCTCCCAAATGATGCCCCTGGCAGCGTTTTGTGACCATGAGGCTCTCAAGAGAGACATGTTGGGGAGGCCAAACGGCAATTTAGCTGAGACGTCCCACCAAAATCGGCGCGAACGGGCTCGTGAGATCAGCCAGGGTGGCTCCCCCTTGGGGCTCCCAAATGATGCCCCTGGCAGCGTTTTGTGACCATGAGGCTCTCAAGAGATACATGTTGGGGAGGCCAAACGGCAATTCTAGCTGAGGACGTCCCACCAAAATCGGCGCGAACGGGCTCGTGAGATCAGCCAGGGTGGCTCCCCCTTGGGGCTCCCAAATGATGCCCCTGGCAGCGTTTTGTGACCATGAGGCTCTCAAGAGAGACATGTTGGGGAGGCCAAACGGCAATTTTAGCTGAGACGTCCCACCAAAATCGGCGCGAACGGGCTCGTGAGATCAGCCAGGGTGGCTCCCCCTTGGGGCTCCCGAGTGATGCCCCTGGCAGCGTTTTGTCATCATGAGAGAGTGTGAGTGTGAGTGAATGTGACTGTGAGTGAGTCTGAGTGAGAGCGAGTCTCATCTTATCTTATCGAGTCCTATCTTATCTTACCTTTATTACCCTCTATCTTATCTTATCTTGAAATCTCTTATCTTGTCTTAGCTTATCTTATATCAACTCATCTTATCGCATCATATCTTGTCTTATCTTATTACTCCATAGGCTGTCTTATCTTATCTATTATCCTACCTTGTCATATATCTTATCTTACCTTATCATATATTGTGCTATCTTATCTTATCTTGTAGTATATTATCTTGTCTTGTCTTATCTGGTGATTATCATTGGGAGGAGGGAGGCGCGAGCGGGAGGAAGGAGGAGCAGTGGGAGGCGTCAGAGTAATAACAAGAACCCCGATCCTTAGGATATGGGAAAAAACGCAGGCTCCACAGTACCAAATCTCCAAATTGTTATGGTAGATTAGGGCGTGTGTGGGGTCAACCCATCCTCCAGCAAGGTGTATTCTACGTCCACGGGGTGGTCGGGATAACAAACTATCCACAGACTGGAGTTGGAACACACACACACACACACACACACACACACACACACACACACACACATTTTTCAACCATTCGGCCATACATGCTTTAGACGCCGAGCCTTTTCACACGCTGCACGAACCGCCACTTTCGGTCAGGACGTGCGCGGACGCGAAACGTGCGACACCAATAGGCGGTGGAGGGGGAATGCGGGGCGCAGGCTTGGGAGCACCTTCCGAATCACTGCTGGTCTGAGCAGCAGCGATGGAGTCAAGGCCTGCGCGCAACAGTCGTTCCCTGACCAGCCTAGCTTTGAGTTCGACTCGAGCTAATCTGAATGTCTGCCTGTGGGACACGCGCACGAATGGCAGCCTCCTTGGCAAGCTCATCTACCACAACGTTACCTTGAATCAGTCAGCTGGGCCAATTTCTCTCAGCAACTTGCCTCCCGTCAAGGTGCGACGAAACTTGAACGACTGCCACTACTGCTGGGTCCCGCTGCTGACTGGCTAAAGTGCTGGAGATGGCCCTCCACAAGTCAGCTTCGGCCCCTGATGGTAAACTGGGCTGGCCTGCATACCAGCCTCTAGCTACTTCGGCACACTTTGTGACATACATTAACGAACCCAGAGAAAACTTGGTGGCCCATGCGAAATGTTCAGCCTGGACTGGGGCTCGTCCTGCAGCGCTCTGGCTCTGACGGACGCCCCCTCGAGGGCGCCGTCGCCTGCCGCTGCAGCGTTCCAGCTGTCATCCTGCTGAGCCGACCATCCCTTCATCTCCACCTCCCTGACCATGGACCAGGCTCGGCACAGCGTCGGCAGCGAGCCGATGACGCGATCGCCCCCCGACTGCTTGGTGAGCAGCCTGCCGACCATGCGCGCGCCGCAACGGGGGCTGCACGGCACGTCGGCCACCGCCGTGACATTGTGCATGTAAGGAAGGCAAGGCTCTGAAGCAACTACAACATCGATATGTGAAGAACCTGCACTCCCAGCGCAAGTACACTCTATATCATCCCTTTTGGCGAATCCTTGGATTCGCTTCAAGAATGCCGAATGCGGAAACACACCGATGTCAAAATTAATATCTCCGACGATGAACCACGGGAGTTGCACGCCCTGAATGAAAGCTACGAGCTTGGTGAAACGCTGTAGATGCTCCCCAGCAAAGTCTACGGTCGGATGCGCATAGAAGACGATGCGATGATGGGGCAACCAGCCGTATGGATGACATTTAGGAGGAAGCCGTCGAAGGCACCTGAGCCTTCAGCACAAACTGCCCTGATGAGGCCTTCGGAAACACCCTGTGAACGTGGCGGTGCCTCTGCGACATGAAGAGCTCCCCGCCTTCGTTGACCTTCCCTACTTTGGCCATCGAAGTCGCTCTCCCCGTGGCACGGGCTGGATTGTCGATCTACTGCCAGTTGGTCCCTCTGACGTTGCGAGTCCACTTCGGGCGAGTGTGGCAACCAGCATGGGTCTCAGTGAGGCTGATCTACGGGTATTTCGTCAAAAAGGCAAGCGCGCTGATGCGAGTCCAGGCCTTGGGCCCTAGGCAAGTGATGTGCGCCTGCCGGCTGAGACGGCTCGGTGGCCGAGGGGGCCGCGAGGCCCTCGGCCGCCGCGCAGGCTCACAGCTGCGCGCCGGCGATCTCGGCAGCGTGCGGCACTGCCAGCGCGGCAGCATCCACCCCCGCTGCCGCAGCCGACCTCAGCTTCCCCATCTCGGCCTTGATGTCGGCTTCCGACGGGGCGCCAGGGGCAGGGGCAGCGCTGGCCGCGGCGGGCGCCGCGGCCGCGCCTGCTGCCGCCGCGGGGGCCTCGCCTGCCTTGCCATCGGCGGTTCCGCTTCTGGGTCGCCATCCTCTTCGGCACCCGCTCCTGACACTCCCTTGGTCCTGAGGCGCCACTGCGAGACCGGCTCGGCCTTCGACTGCACGCTCTTCTTGGCGGCCCCCAGCTTCGTCTCCATTTTCTTCAGCTCTGCCTTCTCGTCCGCGCCGCAGTCGAGCTCGTCGACGCTGTCGAAGAAGCTGGAGTCCCAAGACAGGTCGATGAGCGGGACCTCTGGCGTAGTCGCAGCGGCCGCTGCTGGCTCTGGGGCGAGGCCAGTGGCCACTGCCAACGCCGCTGCAGCACTGCGCCTGTTGATCTCCGCCAGCGCCAGGGTGCGTGCCGCCTCCTCCTCGCGCTCGCGCGCCCGCTGGAGGTTGGCCCCTTGCCGCTCCACCTGGGCCATGGCCTGCTTCCACTTGGCTGACGCGTCCCGCCAAGCGCCCGCCGCCAGGCGCACGGCCTCCTCGGCTGACACGCTCTGTGGCGCAGCTGCGGGAGCGCGAGCTTGGGTGAGCTGCTGCTCCAGGATGAGCTTCAGTCACCGAGGGGTCGCGCGCGGCCTGGAGCGCCGCCTCCAACGTCTTGACTGCGTCGGGGGCGGCTGCCAGCGCGCCTCGCAAGCTGCCCTGCTCCTTGGCGCCCTTGGCGGCGACGGCCTTGGCGCTCTTGGAGAGGGCGGGCTTGAGCGGTTGTTCGTAGAGGGTGAGCTTGGCGTTGCTTTTCTGGCATTTGCACCTTCGGCTGGCTAACAACGTGTTCTACTCGCACTTCTCACATTGCGGGCACTTGGTCCAGGGACGAGGATGAGGATGAGGATCAGGATGAGGATGGTGATGAGTATGAGGATGAGGAGGATGCGGATGAGGATGAGGATGAGGAAAAGGATGAGGATAGGGATGATATTGATGATGAGGGTGAGGGTGATGACGATGATGGTGATGATGAGGCTGATGGTGATGGTGGTGATGTTAATGTGATGCTGCTGGTGAAGACGACGGTGTTAGTGGTGGTGGACAGTGCTGATGGTGGTGGTGACGATGATGGTGACTATGATAGTTGTGATGATGGCGATGGCGATTATGGTGTTGCTGTTGGTGCTGGTGATGCGATGTGATGTGATGTGACGAGGAGCAGGAGAAGGAGCTACAGGAAAAGAACTCGTACACTGAGGAGGACGACAACAACGAACTCAGTATGACGATGTGAGGACGACAACGATGAACAATGACAATGGTGATACTAATGATGGTGATGTTGGTGAGGAGGAGGAGGAGGAGTTTGAGCAGGAGGAGGAGCAGGAGCAGGATCATACAGAAGAAATGGAGGAGGAGCAGGGGGAGGAAGAGCACGAGGAACACGAGGATTGAGAGGATCAGATCAGGGTGAGGAGGACCAACAAGGGGAACAATGGGGGAACATTGAAGGAGGACCAACAAGGATAATCAGGACTGCAAGGGCTAATTGGAAGGATGAGGCGGATGAGGACGATGATGAAGGGGATCCGGATGGGATGGGGAGGATGACGAGTTGAACTAATAACAGGATGTTGAAGACGAGGAGGACGAGGAGGAGGAGGAGGAGGAGGAAGACGAGGATGACGATGATGGCGATGAAAGGGAAGAGCGGCAGCAGAAAGAGCTTTACGTGGCCCCCTGGCTCTCCCGCCCACTCATATCCTCCCGTGCTCCCTCACTCCCGTGAGCCCAAACCCCGTGCGAAGCACTGATCGTAAACCGTTCGGTGAAAGCGTGGTCAGCATCCGACTCAGAAGAAAGCCATGCTCAGCTCCTTAGCAGGATGTGGTCGGGCAAATCCGACGCGCCTCTCTATCGTTCCGATGTCGTGTTCTTCTCGTTGCAGGGTCCCTGGAAGTCTCGATCTTTTCCTGGGGCCAGGTTTTCATCCTGAGTCGTTTTCTGACGGTCATGGGGCCCAGCGAGGTCTCTGGAGGTTGGAAGCGGTGGAAATCGCCGCATTGATTTTTTCACGACGCGGTCATGCTGGGGCTCTCCTCTCTCCCCCAGCCCCGCGCCTCCCCCCAATCCTCGCACATAGGCCCCGGACCCCGCCGCGCTGGCGGCGGGGCTCCCCGGCGGCTACCGCTTCCTGCCGGGCCCGATGCCGGCGCTGCCCGGAGAGTTCTTCGCCGGCATCCCCCCAGGGGGGCCAGAGAGTCCTCCTCCCTCTCCGCCCCCTCCTCCCTCTCCTCCCCCGCGTCCTCCCACCCTCCCCCGCCAGATATCCCCCCCCCGGAGGATCGAAGCTCTGCGTCGCCATCCCCTCCTGCCAGTAGGATCAGGGTCCAGGATCTCGTGATCCCCCCCCTATGCCAAAGTAATGGCCTCCCGCGACTCCCTTTCGTTGCCCTCTCTGCCCGAGGTTCATAGGGGGGGTGACGTTGGGGATACTTCAGGGGCCCGTGGTGCCCGGGGACGGAAGCGCTCAGGGATCCTTGGTGCCTGGGGCGCGCGGGTGCGGATGGGCCATCGTGCAGCTCGGAGCGGACTTCCCTGCGCGAGCTCTACCTGGGACTTTGGCTAGACCCACTTACATAGCTGGTCTCGCGGAACAGAGAAGCCATGCACGCCATCCGTGTCAATCCAGAGCTGGCGAGTTTTGCGTCTGACCTTCAGTCTCTCCTGCAGGAGGGCCAAGCTTGGGACCCTGAGCTGGCTTGTGGAATGCGCCAGCACGCTGGGGTCGGGAGGTCCATCTTCGCAATTGACCAGAACGATCCTGACGCCCCGATCTCCTTCGTGTGAACCCTTGCCCACCTCTCCGTGGAAGAGGCCCGCTTTATGAGCGAGGACGCCCGGGCCGGTTATTGTGCTGCTATTCTATTCGTGCATCCACTCGGTCTAGGATATGATTGCTCGAGGAGGATGGGAACCAGTTGCAAGTGAGTTTCAATCTCAGGAGACGGTCCTCGAACGCGGACGTATCCACCTCCATACGTGCATGTGTGTATATTGGGAAGGCCTTACGGCCAGTGCCGCTGACCTTGTATGCGGGACCTCTCCCAGGACCCCCGCTGGCGACTCCTCCCCGGGACCCCCAAGGACCTTGGGGGGGCGATATTCTGACCCAGGACCCCCAAACCCCCACCCCCCTCTTTGGGATCCCCCCCTTCCCGCGGGGAAAGGATCAAAGGGAAGGGGCTTCCCTTCGACTTAACTACGAAGTGCCTCAATTTCCTTGTGGCTGGCGGTTGAAGTGGAGGGCCCGAGGAAACGGAAGGGCGCGGCGACGGTAACGGAAACGGCAACGGCGACGGCGACGGCGACGGCGACGGCGACGGCGACATCGACGGCGACGGCGACGGCGACATCGACGGCGACGGCGAAGGCGACGGCGACGGCGACGGCGACGGCGATGGCGACGGCGACGGCGACGGCGACGGCGACGGCGACGACGACGACGACGACGACGACGACGACGACGACGACAGCGTCTTCCACACGCACACACGCAAAACAAACACACACACACACACAAACACACGCACGCACGCACGCACGCACGCACGCACGCAAACACGCCCGCCCGCACGCACGCACGCACGCACGCACGCGCACACACACACACACACCTTATATTAAGACGCCTACGGCGAATCACCGCCGCCCCCTGCCTTTTTGGAAGCGCCTGTGTGGCCGAACGTTGAGGCCATACCTGCCAAGCCATCGGACCATGTGTTCCCCGAATCGGTTTGGAAAGCCTTCATCTTGGCCGTCTTGGAGGCCTCTTGGGCGATCTTTCGGCGATCTTTGGGGCTCTTGGGCCGTCTCGGGTCGTCGGAAGGCCGAAAAGAAGGAAATGTCAAAATCCGTCAAAAACCTGAGGAACATCTATGTTGTTGGCCTCTTCTGGCCTTCCTGGAGGCCCTCTTGGGGGCCTCTTGGGCCGTATTGGGCCAGCTTCGAGCCAACTTCGGCCATCTTGGTGGGTTCCTGGCACGTCTGACGCCGTCGGGAGCCGTCTTGGGGGCCTTTCTGGGCCAACGGGGGACCCTCTTGGGGCGCTTCGGGGCCGTCTTGGAGGCCATCTTGGGCGTGTTGGAGGCCTCTTGGGCCGTCTTGGGGCCCTCTTGGGGCCATCTTGGAGGCCTCTTGGGCCGTCATGGGGCCCTCTTGGGGGTCTCTTGGGCGATCTTGGGGGCCTCTTGGGCCGTCTTGAGCCGTCTGAATGCCGAGAAGAAGCAAATTCCAAAATCTTTCAAAAACGTAAGGAAAGTCAATGATTTTGGCCTCTTCGGGCCCTCCTGGAGGACCTCTTGGAGGCCTCTTGGGCCGTCTGGGAGGCCTCTGGGGGGCCTCTTGGGCCGTCTTGGACTCTCTTGGGCCGTCTCGGAGGCCGTCTTGGACCATCTTGGGCGGACTTGGAGGCCATCTTGGGCCATCTTTGCGATTTGTTGAGGATGTCCCGAGCAAAACGGCCGTTTCAGGGAGGATGTTTCGTGGAGTTTGCGCTCCTGGAAGAGCCTCCCGGTACCCCGGCGGGACGGGCCGAAGCGCCAGGGGGGTTCTGTTGGAAAAAGAACCAAAACCAAAACCGAAAGGATCCAGCACGCCAGGCACCCCTGCGATGAATCGACAGGGGGCGGCGGATCGAAGACGCCTACGGCGAACCACCGCCGCCCCCAGCCTTTTTGGAAGCGCCTATGTGGCCGAACGTTGAGGCCAGACCTGCCAAGCCATCGGACCATGTGTTCCCCGAATCTGTTTGGAAAGCCTTCGGGGAACACGTGGGCATCTTGAAGGTCATCTCGGCCGTCTTGGAGGCCTCTTGGGCGATCTTTCGGCGATCTTTGGGGGCTCTTGGGCCGTCTCGAGCCGTCGGAAGGCCAAAAAGAAGGAAATGTCAAAATCCGTCAAAAACCTAAGGAAAAACAATGTTCTTGGCCTCTTCTGGCCTTCCTGGAGGCCCTCTTGGGGGCCTCTTGGGCCGTATTGGGCCAGCTTCGAGCCAACTTCGGCCATCTTGGTGGGTTCCTGGCACGTCTGACGCCGTCGGGAGCCGTCTTGGGGGCCTTTGGGGGGCCGACTTGGGGCCCTCTTGGGGCGCTTCGGGGCCGTCGTGGAGGCCATCTTGGGCTTGTTGGAGGCCTCTTGGGCCGTCTTGGGGCCCTCTTGGGGCCATCTTGGAGGCCACTTGGGCCGTCATGGGGCCCTCTTGGGGGCCTCTTGGGCGATCTTGGGGTCCTCTGGGGCCGTCTTGAGCCGCCGGAATGCCGAGAAGAAGCAAATTCCAAAATCTGTCCAAAACGTAAGGAAAATCAATGATTTTGGCCTCTTCGGGCCCTCCTGGAGGACCTCTTGGAGGCCTCTTGGGCCGTCTGGGAGGCCTCTGGGGGGCCTCTTCGGCCGTCTTGGGCCGTCTTGGACTCTCTTGGGACGTCTTGGAGGCCGTCTTGGACCATCTTGGGCGGATTTGGAGGCCATCTTGGGCCATCTTCGCGATTTGTTGAGGATGTCCCGAGCGAAACGGCAGTTTCAGGGAGGATTTTCCGTGGAGTTTGTGCACGTGGGCAGGCCTCCCGGTACCCCGGCGGGACGGGCCGAAACCCATTGGCAGAGTTCTTTTGGAAAAAGAACCAAAACCAAAACCGAGAGGTCTAGCACGCTAGGAACCCCTGCGATGAATCGACAGGGGGCGGCGGATCGAATGGCCTTCGGTCCATCCTGCCACTGTGCTTGGGTTGTGGGTATGAAGCCCATTGGATGTTCGCTGGGATCTTGTGGGAGGCTTCGCGGGGGCCTCTTGGAGGCAGTTTGGACGCCTCTTGGGGGCCGTTTCGTTTGGGGAACTCTTGGGGCCTCTTTTAGGCATCTTGGGGCCTCTTGGGGGCCTCTTGGGCCATCTTGGGGGCCTCTTGTGGCCTCGTGGGGTATCCTGGGTGCCTCTTGGGGCCTCGTGGGGGCCCCTTGGGGCGGAAGTCTCTGATTTTCAGTTAGTGTTTCCGCTTTTTGGTCCCTTTTTGGGGTTGTCTTTAGGCCCCCTTGAGCCGTTTTGGGCACCTCTTCGGCTGTTATGGGCCCTCTTGGAGGCCTCGTGGGCCGTCTAGGGGTGGTCTTGGGGGCCTCTAGGGCCGTCTGGGAGCGTCGGGGAGCCGAACAGGCGAGAACGCCCAACTCCGTCAAACACTGTAAGGAAATCAATGTGGGCCTCTTGGGGCCCCCTGGGGGGGGGCTCTTGAGTGCTTCCCTGGGCGTCTTGGAGGCCCCTTGGACTGTCTAGGGGCCATCTTGTTCGTCGTGGGACGATCGTTCGGCGACTCGGGGCTTCCTTGGACCGTCTTGGCGGCTTCTTGGGGCAATTTTCACATTTCTTGGGGCCTTCTTGGGTCCAAAAAAGTATCGCGCCACCACGCGCCACGCCCCAGGGGCACAGCGGCAAGCCCCAGAAGATTAGGAATTTGGGCTTCAGGCCGCTAAGAGACTCCTCAGGAGTGAGGATTGAGGCTCAGAGGATTGGGCAAAGGACCTGAGGGCACGCCCACTCCGTGCCGAGAGACACGGTGGCGGATGTGTATCCATAGTTCTATAATGTATATATAGAGGTGTATATATATATAGAGAGAGAGAGAGCTATATTTATATTTATATATATATACAGATGCAAACAATTGGCTTGCTGCCAGGCTCGCTCGACTTCGGCGCTGCACCGACATCGTACCCCCTTCTGCGTTCCCTGAGTTTCCCTCTGGGTTCTCTCTCTATCTCTCTCTGCCTCTCCCTCTCTCCTTGTGTCTACGACCATGCATTTCTCCTGGGTGCTCGGTCAGGCGAAGTCAGCTGCGGGAAGTGTTTCGTAGGAGACCGAACCGCCAGCACACTGGCTCACTTGTGCAATGGGGCCCAGAGGGTCTGCAGGCCCACGAGCGTAACGGCATAGAAGACCGAGGAGTCGCTGCGCGAAGCGGGCCCCCACGCCCAGGCCATCCAGTCCGAGGCTTTTCGGGTGGCGTTCGCGGCTGTCGCCTCCTCTTGAGCATCTCCCTGACCGCTCAGACGACCTAGATACATGTTGGACGCATGTTTCGGGAGTCCAGTTTTGACGAGCAGGTTGATCCGTATGTATTCATTTTCAGAGAGACCCGACAATCAGGACTTTGTGTGTTGATTACATATCCGGCTTGGTTCAAGGCAAAGGCGTTTGTTTGTTATTGTTGTTGCCGCAAGGAGGATGACGAGGAGAAGGAGGAGGAGGGACGGGGGAATACATCAGGGAGGAGGAAGAGGACGAGGACGAGGACGAGGACGAGGACGAGGACGAGGATGAGAGAGGTATGGGCGAGGTGGGATGCTCAAATCGCAAAGCGAAGGAGGCAAGAGGATGTAGGATGGAAAAGGACCAAGGGAGGAAGGGACGAAAGGAGGGACGTAGAGGAGGAGGAGGAGGAGGAGGAGGAGGAGGAGGAGGAGGAGGAGGAGGAGGAGGAGGAGGAGGAGGAGGAGGAGGAGGAGGAGGAGGAGGAGGAGACACACACACACACAGCAGGGCGGAAGAGGGGGAGCATGAGAGAACGGGGAGGATGGACTGCAATGGAGGGGGAGTCCACACGCCCAGCAGGTTCTCCGTGGTCTCGATGAACATCCTAGCCGCTTCGTTGGCCTCCTCGCACGGGTACTGCAAGCCAGAGCACCTGAATTGGGAGAGCAGGAGGCAGAGGCTCCTCCTCCTCCTCCTCCTCCTCCTCCTCCTTCTCATCCCCTTCACCCGCTTCCCCCCATCATCATGATCACCATCATCATCCTCATCCCCTTTCTCCCCCCTCCTGTTCATCCTTCCTATTCAATTCGCTCCTCTATCCTGTTCCTGTTCGCCATTTCCTGCCCATGATCCTCCCCATCCCCTCCTCATCCGGTCCTCCACTGTTCGTCCTCCCTCAGTTTTTGATTCACCCCTTCGTCCACATGTTCGCCCCGCCGTTATCCTCACAACCCTCCTCATCCCCTAATACAACACCACTACCCCATAAGCATTCCCAGCATCAACCTGCTGATCTCATTCACCCATCATCTCCGCCATCGGTTGCATCAGCACCACCGTCATCATCATCCCCAGCATAGCCATCGGAATCGTAATCATCCTCGTCAGCACGGGGAGTCTGCCAACGCCGATGTGGACAATCAAGTCGACAAGTTCTCACGTGGAGTTCGGCGGAGGGCGTCACTTATACATGGTCCTTGCCTGCGGAGGTGTGGTGCTTGCTGCCCTCGTGCCGTGCTCAACGTGGGCCGCGAGAAGAGCGAGCACATGTGATGAGACCTTGACTTCAGGCATTCTTGCTGACACTGCTTGCAGAAATTAAACAGCACATAAGGTTATACGCGTGGTGGAGCGCTTCTCAGACCTATACGGCGAGTCGTAGGACGACCAACGCGCCAAAGACGAGAGGCAAGCGCCTCCTCGACGGCCTTTGCAGTTTGGGAAGCCTTATGTGGGTACCCGCGAACCACGAGATGACATGATTCTATCGCATGAAGATGTTGGATGTGTGGGTGGCAGGTTTCGGGTGGGTGCGCTCGCGGTGGGGACAGTATTGCAGTGGAGATACATGAAGGCGGGACAGCCGTATCAGTACGACACGACCAACGCTTTCGCCAGCGTTGCGCACGAGCTGTTGGACCATGCAGTTCGGGAGCTTAAACAGCGACTAGGACGCCAGTATCATGATGACCAGGCCCTGCAGCACGGCATGCGTTCTCAATGCGCACGCTGGGGACGGCATTTTCGTGAACAGAGTTTGTTGTTTCATGGGTGGTTCGGGTGTGGCCACAAAAGCCAAAGTAGCGTTCGTTCTGCCGATGGTGGAATGGCAGAGAGCTGTCCGCTCGACTTCAGCAGTGTATGAATTAATTGAGGGCTGCCCCGTTACGGAATTCGTGTAACATTAAAGTCTGCAAGTATGAGGATGATTTGGTATGCGCGAAAGTTGTACCTGACGCATGCACTCCCTCTGTCAGAGTCGATGTTTCGGATTGCAACTTGGACGAGGCGCTCGCGCGAGTCGGACTGGCCCCGGGCAGAGAAGAGAAAGCCGTGCGCATGCCCTTGCTTCGTGGGACGTTGCGTTGCCACGAAGTGCGGATCGCTGGGGAAAGTTCATGCGACGTTCTTCTTCGGATTATTCAGACAAACGTCGTCTGGCCGCACTGATGTCGAGACTCGGGCTCGGTGCGTTGCAGTACGTATTGGTGGGCTTGGGATGGGGGAGTTCTAGCGGGCGCGCTCAAGCTTTAACGCAAAGAAGTCGCGTTCCAGTCCTGGGTGACAGCCGCAGCGGCTTCGGGACTTGAGGCGAAAGTCCTTGCGCAAGACCAGGAGAACAGCTCGACCCAGTTGCGCGCCGGTGCCTTGTGCCAAGGGATTGAGATCCGCGCGCGGTGGAAGGCCGCTGCCGCGCGCGGAAGCCGCGCGGGCAAATAATTACCGTCGCTACGCTTGGCGTTGATCTCGGGGTTAGAGGAGTTCGAAGATCCCAAGCTCTCGCGCGCCGCCTTGGGCGATGCGCCCAGGAGCTCGCGGCTGTCTTCGGGGTGGCTGCGTTTGAGAACGCGACGACTCTCCGCCCCTTGTTCGGCCCTAGGTCCCTAGTCTGCTCCAGTTAGGCACCCCCGACAGACTGAGTAAACCCGCGGGCCCCCCGTTTCAAGAGTGGCCTCTTCCGCGTGGGCCAGCTCGACGCGAGCCCAGAGTCCCTGAACGATGTAGGAGACGACTTTACCAGGATGTCCCTGACCCCTAAGCTGATGACTGAGATCAAGATGACAAGGGCGCGCGAGCCATGGCCAGAGAGACCAGCGAGGACGCCGAGCAGCGCGAGGAGCAGCAGCGATCTGAGGAAGCGCCACCGGCGCGCGTTCATCGGAGCGGGGGCGGAGCGCGGGGGAGGGCTCAAAACGACGCGCGCACCGCGAGCACATTCGACGCGCGGCGGTGGCGAGGGGCACGGGCAGTTTGATACGCGCGCGGAGCGCGCGCTCACAAACTTGTGCCCACCGCGTGCCTCGACGCTTACATGCCGGCGGGCCGCCGTCAGTCATGCGTTGGCAGCGCGCCGACGCGGCAGATGCATCGCGCAGACATCGACCCGCAACCGCCTTGTTGTTCTCCTGCAGAAGCACGTCTGCCCAGACACCGAGCGCGCTGTCGAGGGCGCAGATTTGCTTGATCTGCAGCGGAGCGTGACCGGCTGGCGCCTGCTGCAGCCACTCCCGCACGTCGCGGCTGTTAGCGCTTCCGCCAGAGGCGATGCTGACGGCGAAACAGAAACAACACGAGCCAAAAAGAGGACGTTTGCCCGGCCCAGAGGCGGGGCGGCGGCGGGGCAGCATCGGCGGCGGGATCGGAAGGCGGAGGCAAGGAACATCCCCAGATGCTCAACCTGTCGGAGCTAGACCAAGAGGAGTGCGACGTGATTGCGATGCAGAATCAGTTTCCTACGACGGTGCGGCCGCTGCTCAACGCGGGGCGTTGTCAGCGGCATATCGAGTCGATCGAGCTGCAGGCGTTCATCACGGCGTCGGGTTTGCGGCCAGCAGTGAAGGCCCGAACTCGGGCCAGGCCGTGGATCAGGGGCGCCGGGGAGCTGAGGCAGGCGATGGGCAAGGCGGCGCCCGACAAACGCGCGTCGGAGATGGGCGCAATCTCGGCGGGGCGTCTTGCGAAAACCCTCGATGGGGTTCGCGGCCGAGGGGGCGGCGGTCGGAATAGCTGGCGCCGCGGGGCTCCAGGATCTCGGAAATTGAGATCGCGAAGCTGGCGCTGGTCGAGATTGGAGAGGTCGCATCAATGTCCAAAGTTGCCGATTGTTGCGAGGAGGGGGGGGGGGGGGGGGGTAACTTGATCGCGGCCGTCGGCGCGAGCCTGAACATGGCGTCCGCTCTGGAGGGGCCGATCCAAATTGAGGCTGAACACGAGGGGGGGATGGCGCCAACGTCGCTCTTGGAGACAGTGGCGCGCGCGCAGGTTCAGTGATAGGTGAGACTCTTGCTGAATAAAAGAGAAGGGCGGGGCAGGCGGCGAGGCATCTTTGCCTTGGCGCCGCTGCGCCAGCGCCTGGGCCTCCCCCCCCCCCTCTCCCCCGGCCCTCTGAAAGCCCCCTCTCTCTTCTTGTTCTCCGCCCGAACAGGAGAGCGTTAGACTCGGAGACCAGCAATGTGCGACTGCCGAGAGAGTGGGCAAGGGGACAGCGGAGACCCACATCTCTGACGTAACGATTTGCCACATCAAAAAAAGTCGTGGACACGAAATCGGCGGTGCCACACGCAGCTCTCGAGTTTTTCCCCTCAAGATGGGGCTCGCCCGATATTGGCGAAATTCTCTTATACTTGAGAAGGCCGCGGCAGCAGAGACGCCCGTCGGCCCGATGCGAGCCGCAACTGCGCATGAACCACGCATCGCATACCAACGCTCGGGCGCAGCCCGATCTTAGGGGCGTTTCTGGTTTGTGGAACCCCCTGCTGCCCCCAAGCTTTTCGATTCGATCCGACCACCATCATCATCATCATCATCATCATCATCATCATCATCATCATCACCGTCATCATGATCGCCATCACCATCAGCATCATCAGCATCATCGTTCTGCCGTCCTCCTTTCTCATGAGTAACACGCGACGATGTAGCTTCTGGATGCGAGGTGCAGTGCAGAGAAATCGACACTAATGTTTTACGATTTGCCAGGTTACTGCATGGGCTCCGATCCGTCCGCCTTGCCCGTGTAGGGCCGATTTGCAGTATGCATGTCGATGTTTGCCTCCCGACCCATCCTTTCCCTTCACTCGGCAGCTAGCGAGAGGGGGAAATGAGATGGAACAGGCCTTCTCAGAAGGCGGCGGGACTTCTCATAATCCTTCGCGCCTTTTGAGAAACTCTTGTCTGTCTTTGGGAAAGCTTAGGGAATTTCTCAGAAGGCCGGGGGATGCTCGAGCCTTCTGAGAAGGCCTTCTCCTTACCCTCCTCGGGCTTGGCGCCGATTTACTCAGGTGAATATTTTGCAGGTGGTATGTTTGACGGAGTGTATGTTTGACGGGGTGTGAAGGGGGTTCGTGGTTGGGGCGCGGGCCGCTCTGGCTGTTTGCGGCGGCGTAGTATGATGGAACGACTCTCCGTCGTCATGATGGGGTGTTGGAGCCCACGCCGCGGGTTGCTGGAACGAGGGTCCCTCGTAAATCACATGCCGGGCCAGCCCACCCTCTCCGATTTCCCCCCCCCTTCCGATGTTTCCAAGGCCTCCGCCTGGCGGTTCACAGCAGCTCCGGAGGCCACCAAAACGCGAACAGAGCGGCCCGACAAGCAAAACGCCCAAATACGTTGTCAAGACGGCCCAGAAAACCCCGAGGAGGCCCCGAAAGAAGCCCCAAAAGCAAGACGATCTAGGAGGCGCCCAAAACGATCCTAGAGGACCCTAAGAGGGGTCCAAGAGGGGAAACTCCAACTGACATTCTGAGCCCCCGAGGCTGCCAGCAGGCCCCTACGGGGCCCCAAAAGGCTTCAAGAAGCCCCCTAACGGCCCAACAGGCTGCAAGAAACTTCAACAATTGCTCCACTAGGCGCCCGAGAAGCATGCCAAGAGAACCCGAATTACGCACGTGCATCCAACTCCTCTGGCCCCAAACTGAGGCACAGTAGCGGCATGGGCCGAAGGCCACACATACCCAAGAGAACTGCCTGGCGACGGACCCATCCCCATGCAGTCATTTTTAGCGCAGGGCGCGGGTCTCTCTTAATTCATTGCGCGCCGCGGGGCAATGCGGAAGGGGGGCTGCTGCGGAGCATGCGTGCACAGGCGCCCTAAATTCCTTGCGGGGCACAATCCGTGTGACGCGTGTGCCGACAAAATTCGGATGCCCTCGCGCGAACACGCCCACTGAGGCCGCAGGTGGAGCTTCTTTAGGCACGACCCGTGCGAGGCATGTTTCGAAATAGGCGGGGGCCATGCGAAGCTGCCCATTGGTGCCATAGGTGGAACTCCTTCTGGGGCATGATTCGCGTGACGGGTGTGCGGACATGGGCGGGGGGGTGTTGTGCGAAGCTTGTCTCTGGGCCTTGTGGGTACGATCCGCGTGATTCGGCATGCCGCAATGGGCGGCGGGGGGGCGCAGAGCGAACCCTGCCCATGGGGCTGTAGGCGGAGATCCCTGTGGGCCACGATCAGTGTGAGAGGTGTGCCGAAGTAGGCAGGGGGGCGGGGTGCGAACCTTGTCCCCGGGGCTGTCCGTGGAAATCCCTGCGGGTCACGACCCGTGTGGGAAGTGTGCAGAAGTGAGCGGTCAACGCTATGAAGTTGCCGTCAGGTGCCGCACGTGCAGCTACTTGGGGAACGATCCACGTGAGGGGCGGGGCATCATGCGAACCTTGCTTGTCTCTAGGGGCGCAGGTAGAGCGCCCTGAGGGGCGCGATCCCTGTGATGAGGTGTGCCGGCATGGGCGGGGGAAGCTAAGCCGTGCCTGTCTCACGAGTCGTCGGTCGAGCTCCCTGCGGGGCACGACCCGTGTGACACTATGTGTCCTTCGATGCGGAACATGCTAGACGACAGCCAGAGCTTGCTAGAATCTGAGCGCGCGCGAAGCGCGCGTGGTTCTACATAAATTGAGTGCTGGAACTCACCCTTCTTGTCAGCATGAGCTGCTCGATCTGTTTGTTCCTCGTAGACGTATGCATCCAGCACTGGACCTCATCCCGCTTAGGGCTTTAAATGCATATGAATATGGCGGGTGGAGATGGTGGGACGGGGCCCGGGGTTGGGGGTCCTGGCATTGTAGTCACGCCCCGCTCTCAAACAAACGTGTGTAGTTCGCGTGCCCGTGCGTGCGAGTGCCTGCGCGTGCGCGTGCGCGCGTGCGTGCCCGAGTGAGCCCGAGCGCGAGCCCGAGCCTGAGCTCGATTTGGAGCGCGTGCGTGTGCGTGTGCGCGTGCGCTTGCGCGTGCACGCGCGTGTGGGCGTGTGTGTGTGTGTGTGTGTGTGTGTGTGTGTGTGTGTGTGTGTGCGTGTGTGTGTGTGTGTGCGTGTGTGTGTGTGTGTGTGTGTGTGTGTGTGTGTGTGTGTGTGTGTGTGTGTGTGTGTGTGTGTGTCGTGCGCGTGTACGTGCACGTGTGCGTGCTTGTGTGCGCGTCCACTTGCGCGTGCGTGTGCGCACGCTCGGACGCGATCGCCCGACTTTGAGCCCGAGCGCGAGCATCCGAGCCCGAGCCGAGCCCGGGCCCGAGCCCGAGCCCGATCTTGAGTGCGTGCATGTGCGCGCGCGTATGCGCGTGCGTGGTGCGTGCGTGTGCGTTTCCGATCTGGTAACATTCGACTTCGCCACTAACAGAGATCACCTGACCTTAAGCCTCGTCCTTTTCTTGTCCCTCTTTCCCTCTCCCTCCCCTCTGCTCCCCTCCCCTCCGATCCCCCCTCTCCTTCCTCCCTCTCTCGGTCCCCCCTCAGCCCCTCGACCTCGATCCCTCGCTTCTCGTTCTCTCGATCCTCCTGGATCCTCGATCCTTTTCCCGAATCCCTCTTATCCCTCATTCTCGCTCCCGTCCTTTTCTCCAATCATGCCCTTCCCTCCCGCCACGAAATCCGACGTCATGCGTTCTGTTTGAAGTACGCTCCTAGGTCTCTCGGCCCATTCCCTGGGATCTGACTCCTCAGCATCATCAGCAGCATCATCAGCAGCATCATCATCACCATCACCATCACCATCACCATCGTCATCATCATCATCATCATCATCATCATCATCATCATCATCATCATCATCATTATCATTATCATTATCATTATCATTATCATTATCATCATCATCATCATCATCATCATCATCATCATCATAACTGTCGTCATCATCATCATCATCATCATCGCCATCACCATCACCATCACCATCATTATCATCACAATCGTCCTCACCATCATCATCATCATCATCATCATCATCACCATCAGCATCATCATCATCATCTGCATCATTATCATCACTATCACCACAGTCGCCATCATCATTAACATCATCATTAGCGTCATCATCATCATCATCATCATCATCATCATCATCATCATCATCATCATCATCATCCTCATCACCATCACCATCACCATCACCATCACCATCAACATCATCAGCAGCAGCATCATCGCGCACATCTCGAATCCTAGGGCTTGGAAGCGGCACCCATACGCCGAAGATGACGAGCATTTCTTGGTGGCGAGATTTTCTTTGAGCTGCGAGAGGTCCGCAGGCCTCACTACCCTATCCTCTCCCTATTCGCTGCTCTCTGCTCCCCTAACCTCCCCTCCCCCTTCTCCATATCCCTTCGGGTCAATCTCGCCAACCTCTGCTGCGATGCAGGAGTTCTCATGTCCCTCCTCTCCCCCCCTCCCCACAGCCCTGCTGCAGAGGCAGGATGTTGTTAGCTGATTCTATGTCAGGGGCGTCCGTTCATTTCTTGCTGTGTTTTTTTGGGAGCTGGACTCCATGTATTGTAAATGTACATGGAACTGTAGACCATAATGAAATGTACATGTAAATGTCCATGTGCTCGATGTAGCTGTTTTCTTGACGTCGGCGTTACATGTAAATGTATGCCAGGTGGAGCGGGCCTCTAAGCTGCCGGCTGCGGCACAAACGGTGCAACATATTTCGCAGCGCGGGGTCCCGCGAGAGCGGCGCCTTGTGCTGTGGTCCCCCTCGTGGTGCTCGCGTTCGGCAAAGCGCTGTGCGGCATCTCCACCTCGTGGCACTGAGATTCTTCGCATTTCATGATTTCAGATTTTGCATTGATTTTCTGGAATGTTTGGCATTTGGTATTTCATATTTGAAATGTTCCGCATGGGAATTCTTCGCTTTTCTTAATTTCATCCCCCACCGTCTTGCTGACCACTAGCCACTCCGCATCATAACGTTCCCTCGCCCCCTCTCTCTTCCCACGCCGCGCCAGCGCCTCCCAGGCTGCTCGAGGGACTCGTCCGAGCCGTGCCGGATCTCATGTCGGGCACCTTTCGGATTGGCGCCGCCTGCCCCGCCTTCTCCTCCTCGTCCTACTCGCCTCGTTCCTTCTCGTCCCTGCTCTTCCTCCCTCCTTCCGCCGTTCCCACCCCCGCTATCTATCCTTCCTCGCGAGTGGGCAAGTCCAAAGGCCCTTCCGCTCCTAAGGCACAGGCGAAGGCCAAAGGCGAAGTGGGCTTCTCGCGGCGACCCCGGGTGTGGCGCCAGCGTGGGTGGTAACCGTCGTGCAGTGTTGACGCATCACCAGCGCGAGTTGCACGTAACCTTGCGGAATTCCGACGCAAGAATTGCGGAGATGGACAGGTGGTAAAGCAAGCGCTTGCCTTCGTGGAGACCCCGGGGGAAACGGTGACACCTATTCCGACCAGTAGGCCCATTCGTGGGGAGGAGGTCGCAGCCAAAGGAGTGGCTTGCCGCCGTGCCCACGCGTGGATGGAGACTTGCGCTCTCAACGTGCTGGAGGGCGAGACATGGCTCAAGGAGGCGTTCGAGGCCAAAGACAAAACAGTCGTCGACGCTCAGTCGGCGAAGCGGGCCTCCAACGACGTTTGTGCGCAGCAGGTGTCTCAGCCGCCGTCGCAAACGGCGCCAGCATCCTGTCCTGCAGTGGCCATCAGCTTTTCGGAGCTCGTCGAAGGCAGCGCGCTCAAGATTATCGAGGGCCCACTCTTCGACGCCGGCGACCTTGAGGTAGGCCCTAGCGATTTCCACGAAAGAGAACGCGTCAAGCGCAAGCTTGCGGCTGGGGTGTAAGTGGAGATCACCGAGGCCTTGGGGCCGAGGGCCAATAACATCGCCAAACTCCGCGATTAACTGAAACAGTTCGCCTCGCGCGTCCGCGTTCCAAACGCCGTGGAAAAAGGCCCTGGTGGTTCCGAGGCGACACTTGCTGCGGATGGTGCTGGCGGCAGCTCTGATTTTGGTGGCGCTACTGGCAGCTCTGCAGTCGCTGGTTCGTCAGGCATCGCCGCGCCAGTTCCTGGTGAGGGCGAGGGACCAGAAGGGCTGCGAACCGTGATGCGTGCTAAGTGCTAAGGCACAGCGCAAAATGGAGTTTCGTTGCAGTGTCCCAGCGAGCCGATTCGTTGGCCATGGGCACACCCGTGGACCAGCTCATGTCCAGCAGGTCTCGTTCGATGGGCCACAAAGCTGCTCTGCAACGGGCGTGGCTTTCCGAATTGCGGTGGCGAATACCTCGTCATGGAGGGGAAGATGAGATCGATGAAGTAAGTTCCTGGCGCGAGGCCCCGCGAGAAAGGGGGGCGCCGTGCTCGGGGCCATCCGTGACCTGCTGCGCCAGGGGAGGGTGCATTCAGGAGGAGACGGTCGGTGGTTTCCGTCGGAGAGGTGCTCCTCTCTCATATCAGAGAGTTGTAAGAAGGGTAAGAAGGACGCAATGGCGCTGCGGGCTCACGCGGCAGGCTTGTTTCGGAGCTCTCATCTGGAGGGCGGCCGTGTTTCAGGGCATGTCGGGCTCCTCTAGAACAGGATTGCTAGCGGCGTCGCGTCGCCCCGTCGGAGGAGGTAACTGTTGGCCGCAGGAGGCGCTGTGCGAAGGAGATCCCGCCGCACGTGCCCCCCCCCGCTGATTGGGGCGAGGGTGGCCAGAGCTTGCTCGCGCAGTCGCGCGCCTGGGCGGCCGCGTGGATAGACGGCCCATCTTGCGAGGCTTCTGATGCTGGCCAAAGAAATTGACGCGAGGCCTGTCGGCGCCGAGTTCTCGGCGACGCGCGCGGCCGCCCACTGCCGCGCAAAATCCAGGATGTGCATCCAGGTCGTTCGTTCGAGGAGGTTCTAGAGGGGGTCTTTGACGCGCGGCGTCGGCGCAGTCGCGTTCGCGGCTTCGCGGCCCCCTGCAGCGGCCCGCGCGCGCGGCGCCGGCGCAGTTCAGAGCCATGGCGTGCCACTGCCGCTGCGAGCCATCGCAGCGCAATTTGTGTCTCTACCTACTTCTGGCGAGCAAGGCGCCCGACAGCTCCGCCGCGCGCAGGAAGTCTTCGAGCCGGCGTCGAGCGCCGCGCCCCGCTTCCGCGACGCCCCGCCGGGCTTCGCCCGATGCCGATGGAGACGGGGTGGCCCTCGCTTTTGAGGGCGCGGCCCCGCGGGCCCCCCTGGCCGCGGCATCGCGGGGGCAGGCTGCGAGCGCGGCAGGGGTGGGGGGCGGCGTTCGACCCGCGGGCCGCGGCCATCCCGGCGGGGGCCGTCTGCGCCGCGGGCGCGGGGGCCGTTTCGATCGCGCGCGCCGCGGGGGCGGGGGGCAGCGGCGAGCGCGCGTCATGGGGGGGGGCCCGCAGCTCCAGCACATTATCCAGGTCCGCTTTCCCGGGGGAAGTGATGCGTCGCATGGCGCCAGGGCGCCGATTTCCAGGCCCCCCCAGGCTCGCCGCTTCTAGCCTGCCGAGAGTAAGAGCGCCCAATCCAGGCGGCGGTCTCGCCGGTTCAACATGGCCGCATTCGGCGCTGGGCGATTTTCGCGTTCCGTTCGGGGACTGGGAGTTCGAGGCGGAGAAGTGCGAGCGCCGCGGGCCAGGGCCGCGCGCGGAGCGTTGCGCGAGCATCGCAGGGCCGTCGCCGCCGCAAGTCTCGGGGGCGGACAGAACCCCCAACAGTGACGCGTCGATTTGTGAATTGTCCGTTTTCGGCTCTCGAGAGGGCGCCGCGGCCGTTATTTTCCAGGCTTGCGCCCGCCAGGTTTGGGCCTCAAGTCGTTTTCACTGAACCGCGTTTTATTGAAGGGAGGTCTGTCCATCCCCGAAAGTCCTGCCGGGGCGTGAACTGGCGTCAGGGGCGCGCGGCGGCGCGCGGTCTGGAAGTGGAGCCCGGCATCTTTATCGGGGCATTCTCGAGTTGGGGGTCGCGGGCGGGGCGCGATCGCCGCGCGCGCCCTCGCCGCGCGGCGCAGTTCTAGATGCGCGCTCCCGAGCTCCAAGCGGGCGTTGAGCGACGCCGGGGGGCTCGTTGCGATGCCTCCTAAGACAGCGCGCGGCAATTGGCGCCCTTCCCGGGCGTTGGGCGGGCAGCTCGCTGCGCCGCGCCCGGGCAGGTCTTTGCCTTGCTCTCGCCCATGCGGCGATTAGCCTTTTCGCGTGGCAGCGTGGTGGCGACGCGAATTGCGCCGCGGCCAGGCTTTGACATTCGGGCGCGCGGTCGGTCGTCTTCCCTCGGAGTCTTCTCGGAGGCCCCCGGGCGCCGACGGGCGCTCGGGGCCAGCGGCCCCCCGCATTGGCGCGCGCCGTGGGCCAGAGATGCTTGGTTGAGAGATGGATCTATCATGAGCGCCCCGGCAACGTGCGGCAGAGCCAGGGGGCGCGAGCACATTGATTGGGCACCCGTGAATTCGGCGCCCCCCCAAGGTTGCCGGGCGCGCGGCCTCCTGGGATGCGCGCGCGGGCGCGCGGGTGGGCGCCCGAGGGCCCGGTGCAAATTGGCGCCGCCACGGGGCGGCGCCCCCCGCGGCGCGCCCTCAGGTGGCGCGCCAGAGCAAGAAGGCGCATCGTCGCAGCCAGCGATCAAAGCAGCCGCGGGGCGCATCGGAGCGGAGCAGAAGCAAGCTGTCAGCGAAGTGCGAAGCGGGTTCGGTGCACCATGCGCAGTCTCAGGATTAGGAAGAGTCGCATCCAGAAGAAGCAGTCGCTGAATTTCAGCTCCCCTCAGGAATTCGGCCATCCGCCGCGGCGCAGTTGCCGTTTGGTGAGGCGATGTGAGCTGCGAGACGAGAGATCGCCATGTGCTGGGGGGCCTGAGTCCACCTGGCAGCGACGCGGCGACTTCCTCGCCGTCGCGCCGGCCGCCGAGGTCGCGGCTGCGTTTGCGACCCGCCGCGCCCATGAGGTGCCAGAGTTCTACGGTGGAGCGGCAATGCTCTGGCGCTGCAACTGGGCACGGTCGTCTGGCAGGCCCGGCAGGTGGGCGGCGCCGGCTTGGCGCGCTCTCTGTCGCGGCGCCTCGCGGTTGTTGCTCGTTGCAAAGGAGATTTCAATCAGCTCGACTCGCGCAGGCACCACCTGGGGCGCCAGGCGCAGCCATCGGAAAGAGTAGACCCCAGCAGTTGTTCCAGCGACGCGAATGCGTTGGATCGGCCAGGCGAAGCTGTTCCCGCGTCATCGGAGATTGAGATGGCTGATCAAACACTTCCGACTGGGCGATTGGCTCGCCGCGCATTAGACAGGAGTCGAACGAAAGGCCGGCCCCGCACCACCAAATTTGGGCCCAGGACCAATGGGGGTCTCACCCCCGGCGCCGCCGTGCCATGGCCTGAGATCTGAACCGTCCTCGCGCGGAGCTTTCTCGGAGGAGGCAGGGTTCCTCGGGGGCCTTCTGCGCGCGCGCGACCCGAGCGACAGTCGCGGCGCAACGCGTGCACTGATCGAGTTGGCGACCCGCGGACCATCTTCGAGGTGGCCATGCAAGTGCATCTGGAGGCGCGCGAGGGGCCGCTGGGCGAGCTCAAGTCCGGTCTTGACAGTGCCAATCATGAGATCCCTTCGACATCCTGCGAGGTGGCCTCCATCGCGCCCGGTGGCCTTCGGCGTTCGACGTGTCCGGGGGCGGCGGGGGTATCTGCAGCGGCTTTCGCGCGCAGAATTCCACGGCGCATGGCCTCTTCGAGTTCTTAGCAGGCCACCGCTTCATTGCCAACTCGAGAGTTGTCGGAAAACCAGACCAAGAAAGAGTCGCGCGCGCTGCGGTGCAATCGCGGGACGGTCTGACTGTTCAGAATATTGTCGGGGCGCCGGCAGCGGCGCGTTGACCGCGGCCGTGCTCAGACAACTTCGGGATGAGGTCACCGTGGTGCTCGACGTTTCGGCGGCCACTTTGCCGTTGGATGTTGATGCGGTTTGCGATTCGCTTCCGCGGGCTATTCTTGTCGAGGCCGCTCTGCGCAAAAGTTTTACTATTGTTATCGTTCGCCTGGGGGATCAGTCACGGGCCGACCTAGATGCTTGCGTTGCCCCAGTTGGGCCGCAGATGCCCCCCAGCGAGGTCGCAGGCGGCC